GCGCTACCAGACGATCAGTTCTGCTTTACGGTTGTCAGACCTTGAATTTGTTGGTAGAAGACATTCGTTGCCTAGTGGTTTTCGACAATCGATGCTTACGTAGTCTGGCCCAAATGGGATGGAGTGAGCGGGTTAGTAACTCAGAAGTCAGTCATCGCATCGCATCGAATTCAGCTCAATAGGCTCCGGTGAGTAGGACACGTTTTGCGTATGTCGAACGGTCGTTTGCCGCAGCCAGCCTTATTCACAGTGGCTGTTGCAGGCTGGACAAAGCCATGTGCAGGCCGGCAGATGACGGGGAGATGAGGCATGAAGAAATGCACAGAGCGACNGTACTGTAGGTCTCTCTTGTCTTCGAGGTATGGGTCCAAAAGACTCCGTAGCCGCATGGCTGGAGATAGTGAAGGTCATGGCTGCGAACCGACAGCAATGGCGACCTTGCTGTCACTAATCAGACCAGAATGCTTGAAACAGTATGTATGCATAGTTGGACTGTGTACTGTGTTGACCATAGAGGTTAGTTATCTTTTTCCGCCCCTAAAAATAGGTCCAATCCCTGTCCTCCTCACACATTCTCACTTACATTGTATGCAATATGAGTTTGGCAGTGATAAGTGAAGTTCGCTTCACTGTATCATGCTGTACAATGATGATGATGATGATGATGATGATGATTGTGTACTTCGGATCAGACTATCTTTAGCCAGGCAGAAGACCGACGCAGCAATCCTCGTACGAAAATAAAGCCAGTTTTCATCCAACCTGTATGTATGACTGAACTACCACTTCAATCGCAGGACTGATCCTAGTTGGTCATAACTGAGAAACATCCGTTACCTATAAAACTGGTTACCTCTTGCATGTTTCACTACTCTGTTACAGATTTCAATATGCCCTTTTTCAAACGTGTTCCTTTTTATTCTTAAATTCCCAAACTCGAACTCAGACTCCNTGTTCGTGCAAAACGTTTCTTCGCATCCACCCAGGTTCATGTCTGAACTTAAGGCTTTGACTCAGCACCCTAATCGCTCTGCATGGTGGCTGGGCACCCTAGTAGCACCCATCCATCAAACCCCAATGAATGCATAAAAGGAATAATTCCATACTGCATCGGTCATCGCGCATGATAATCAGTACAATGCTGACCATCGCACCCAGCGGGGTGGGTAATGATAAGTGGGCTACTGCTCAGATATCCGCACCCAACCCTCTCCTTTTACCCGTTCTTCCAAACCGCAACATTCCCTCAGACTTGTTCGTCACTTGCCAAAGTTCATCGCCAGTAGCCCGGTAAGTAAATTACCACAAAATAGATAGCAGATTCTGAAGCCTCCTCAGCCACTGAATCTGAAGGCCTTCAATATAAGGACTCGGATGCAGACAGGTGAACAAACGTGTATGGCGCGTACAATGGACTCTTTGGGGATTAATCTCTGCTGCATACCGGAGACGCGAATCCAGGATCATAGTACTATAAGCCACTTAAGTGCACCGGGGTTGTCTTCGAGGTTCTTCCTACGCACGTCAGATGATGACGAAGCCCGTTCAGTAGGCCAGTGTGGTGTGGGTATTGTACTCAATAGCAGCCGAAGCTGCACTACTCGATTGGATCCCCGTCAACAGTCAAACTTTGTTTAACTCTGTCTTCTACACCCAAACCTCGTCCTTTGCATCTCTTTGCAACCCAATACATTCCATCGGACCAATTGTTTGTCACTCGCCAAAATTCGTTGCCAAATAGTAGGTAGTTTGCCAATGAGTAATTCGCATATCCTAAAGCCTCGGCAACCTTTCAATCTGGGAGCCTCCAAAGTGTGGACTCTGATGCAGGTGGG